GGAAAAGCAATGATTATCGTAAATAACTACTTAGAATACATAAGCGCCTTTCTTGCATAAGCGTCAACATAAATCATTTCTTTATCTGAAGCGCCGCCCTAGAAAGTTTGAATATATACTGTAAGAAAATCGATGAAGATGCTATATTAATATAGTCCCTATGTACTTATTCCTGGAAAGTTAGCTATTGAGCTTCACAAACTGGATTTTATCCAGTAATTCACAATACCAGATAAGTTTTAAATGATTACTTCATAGTTTCAAAGAAAGATAAGTAGTACATTATTGCCATGTGCATAAAACAATGAAGAACATGAAAATTAGTCACCTTGATAATATAGTTAAACTACATGTAACATTAAAATAATGACTCAAAGATCTATGCTTCAGTTTTACCATGAGCGCATTAGAAATTTGAAAACCTCCAACTTCGCGGAATGGTATAGCGAGATCAAGATGATAACCAATAAATAGCACGACCAACCTTCTATCGCCCCGCCTCCGAATGTGGATCCTGGGCAGTAGCTACCTACTACCTACCAGTCAGCATCGTGCATTATCTGCAATTCCTGCCTGATGTAGAAAGTGTGTCCAGTTTCTGCGATCTCTTGCAGCTAATTTTGCCTCTTGAATAGCGCATCCAGGAAGTATGGTGTTTATATCTCGCCTGTGTTAATACCTCGTTTTCTTCGACCATGGACTGGTTCCCATTTGTAGAGTTAGTTTGGGAGTCAAGTTTTGTCCATTCTTTCCAAGCGTCCAAACCATTGGATGTGACGTTTTCTTATGATTTTCGTGAGCTGTAGCTGATTGCTTTTTGTCGATGTTTCTGATATGCTGTGACCACTTAACGTTAAGAATTTTTTTCTGGCATCTTATGTCAAAGGCATCAAGCCTGCTCTCATCTCTCTCAGGCTCCATCATTCTGCACCATATAGTAGCGTTGAAAGCACACATGCATTATATCTGGTAGCGAGATTTATGTGTCTGTCCTTCCAGATTGATGCAAGTTCTCTGAAGGCTTCGGCTGCTTGATTTTCGCTCATCCTTTCATAAACTGTATCTTTGATTCTTGTCAGCATGATTGTCGAGAAAACCTTTCCTTCTATATCAATGAGGGTTATGCCACGGCTGTTGTTACAATATGTGACTTCGCCTTTTTGATTATAGGCAGGATTATCTCTTTGCTCCATTCTTCTGGTGTTCTCTCCTGTTCCCAAACTATCCTGTGAAGATCTTTTTTGGCTACTTGTCTTATTGAAATCAACTCCCTGGTTTGAGCAGATATCCAACCTTTTGGTTTACATCTTTTCATACCATTTACAGAATTGGTAAAGCTATTACACCCTGTGCCTGTGTCAGTCTCCTCGTAAAGATCTAAAGTGCATGGTATATGCCTCCAATGGTTGTGATGAACTGAGCCACAGTGTCATATTGCAGCTTTGATGTGTCATAATTCAGTTGCTGTTTCTGTTGTTTCAGGGCTGCTGGAGACAGACAAACAGTTGCTACAGCACGGTTGTGATTGCTACCAAAATCACCACCTCTGTAGACTTTCACATCTTTGACTGAGTCGCACCATCTCTGGTTTATAATAGTGTGGTCAACTTGTGTCACTCTTTTACCATCAGGAGATTTCCACGTCAACTTCTGGATTCTCTTATGGGGAAATAACTAAGACCCAGTAACTAGTTTGTCGTTCGTTCGTGTGAATCCATCACGTGAGCTAAACAGGTATGTCTATGGTTTCAAGCCAGCTAATGGTGTCCTCGTCCAGATGTAGAAGGCCTTCGTATCCATTTGGAGGCCCAAAGACTTGGCACGAGCTGAATATATGGTCAGTAGTTTGGGATGCAGCGCATTGTCTGACGGCTCTGCTTCATTTTTTCCAGGTATGAACGAGTCTGTCTGAATCCCGAGCGGAGGCAGTTTAGACGGAAACAGGATTTTTTGACAGGTAGTCACAACCTGGTGGTTTGGCTGATGGAAAGCTGATGCAGTTGCCGAGAGGGGAAGAAGATCATGTCCACTTCTCAGCCCATCCGCCTGATGCCCACGATGATACATGTGGGTGCTGCTCTTGGAGCAGCATCACCTGAATAGGTGAATGTGTGGTGGTATAATTCCTGAAAGAACAGGAAGAACTTTAGTTTGGGTGGAGGAAATTGCACCTAAAATCAGTCTCATAGTATCATTGATCATTAGAAGGCAGAAACGAGATCAAACTTTGGCTGCAACAGGCTTGGTATGAATAACGAATGTTAGACTTCTGTTTTGGGTAACCCCGATGTAAATTGGAGTAGAGGCAAACTTCAGTTTTGAACCATTAAGGGTGATGTTACGTTCTGTTTTAGCGAGACAATTTGCCAGAAGGAAAACAAAACAGACAGTCTTAGGTAGGCGCAGCTTCAGGTGCCACCTATGAAAATAGCCACTGAGGGTACCAAGGTCTCGTTGTAGTGTTTCTTTAACCGATTGAAATGTCTCAACAGAGGATTCTATCATTAGTATAGATTTGCTTGAAGAAGACTGCAATGCTATACTGTATCATAGGCTGCAGTTAGATCAATGAAGACTATGCCAAACTTCTCCTTCCTTTGAAATGTGCCTTCAATATTATGGATAAGTCGTACTACCTGGTCACTTGTTGACCTTCCTTTACGGAAACCTGCTTGGGTGTCTGGTAAATGATCTTCAACGACGTTGGTAATGTTTGTCTTTCAAGCAGCTTATAGGTGCATGAAAGAAGAGATATTGGCCTATATGTGTTAAGATCCTACCTAAAAATTGCTCTAACCTTAGCCCACCGCCAGATTGAGAAGATAGACTTCTTCATCAAACAGTCGGTAAAAAAAGTATTGAAGCTAGACAATAACAACTTGTCCCTTGTACTTTGTGTGGATATTGCCAAAGACTGGGGCTTTGCCAATCGTAATTAGGTTTATAGCAGCTTTTAGCTCTTGTGTGGTAATTGGAAAGGACAAGTCACTTGAAGGTGGAAGAGTTGAGGCTAGGTGTTTGATATCCTTTTCGACTTGTCCAGTGTGTTTTTTAGCCTCTTCACTTCAATCTTTCCATGTACCATTAGCAACGCGAACTGATGCCATTGACACTGGTCATGGTATTGGTGGACAACTCCTGTAAGTAAACCGATTTAAAGTAGACCAACCAGAATCAATGATTACATTCTTAACAATATTCCCATTTATTTTAAATACAGGATCATTGTTATTGTTAAACAATTCATCAGAGGAAACTCCAAATGCAAAATAATCCTCACTGTCAATATTAATAGCACATGCATGGTTTTCAGATCTTTTAAATTAAGTTTTTTTTTTTAAATTTAGTGCGACAACAGGTTTCAAAATGACCAGCATAATTACATAACTTACAAATATGTTCTTTCGAACCAATAATGCAATCTCGGGCAAATGCCTCGTATAATCACATTTTTAACATCGAATATTTACTTTACTCTGGCCATATTTATTTTTCACAACTTTCTTATCTTTAGCATAATTGAACCCCACGTTGCCGCTGACTTATCATGAACATTTGCAGTTATTTCTAACAGTTTGGTTAAAGTCAGTTTATATTGCCTTTAAACTTTGCTTGTTTAGTACCTTATCCGTTAACTTTAAAATAATTTTATCACGAAGCTGGTTGTCTTTTTTATCCTTGAATTCGCAATCGTTCGTCATAACAATAATTCGGATAGCAAAATTGTTTTTTGTCTCACCGGGTTTTGGTTCCTTTTCAATGAACCGTTGTCTAGCTAATGGCACATTCGTCTGTTCCTTTTTTTTTCTCTCTTTTGTGGGATCGTCCCACTTTTATATCATCATAATGTCTTAATCTACATAGATATATTACACATAACATATAGTCTACATTTTAACAGTTATTATATATATTAAGTAAATAATAGTATGAAATATATATGTGTTATGAAATTACTTAGTACATGTCTCTTTACTGTTCTACGTAATAAGTGTTCAGATATCGAATATTGTATTCTTTATTTTTTTTTTATCATTTTCTTCAATTGCTTGTCTTCCGTAGAAGTCAACCATCACACATTTATTTATAAATATATTTATTTAAACTTATCTAGATCGACCATAGACCATTTATTTTTAGCTTTTTCCTTATTAATTAAAAATTAACATGTAATTAGTCTGTTTAGTTCAGATAAAAACATCACCCAAGGACATTTTGTCCTCAAACATAATCTATTCATTATTTTAACTTTATAAATACAAAACGTCAAAATTGAAATCATTTCGTTCACTCTTTCGCTATAACTTTCAATAACGATTTTGTTCCATTGTAAGTTATCATAGATTTTAAAACATGATCGCATCATAGTGTGTAATTTCGTCCAACATGCTTCTATATATTTGCATTTAAATAGCATGTGCTCTTCATTTTCAGTAATATTACAATACTCACATAGATTGGTTGCAGATAATTTCCATACATTTAGTCTATGTAAAAATTTAAAATTGAACTGTGCAATTGCTGTCATTGTTATGAGTGGATTTCCAATTGAATACTGCATTTTAATGACATAAATTTACAATATTAGTGACAATTTTAGGAAAAAATGGCGGCCATTTTGAAACAGCTGGCAGCCCCCCTTACGTATGAAAAAAAAAATGTTGCACATACTTTTTTGATTTATCTATGTCTATTCTACATCATATCCAATTTTAAAAAAATATAGCAAAAAAAAATGCAACCAACCAAAGTTTGCTGGACTATATTATCTTTACAGTGATAATGATACAATAACAACATAGGTTATAGAAATGAGTACCAAAGTTTTATTATTTTGCGCAATATAAATGAATAACCTTTAACCTTTAACCTTTATTTACAATGCTCCGACTTTAATAGTTATTTACAGGGTCTTTTACAGTTTTTTTTGTTTTGTTATTTACACTTTTTTTTCACAATTGCATTACTCAATGTCCCTTCCTCGAAGTGGAGCATGATCTCGATGGCGAAAATTGTGTCTGTCCATTTTTGGTTTACCACTTGGTTGCCTGAAAGAGTAATAATAATGATGATAATAACAATGATAATAATGATAATAATAAACACAACACAAAACATACAATGTCGATAAAACAAGAAATACTACTACTAATATTAATAATCTAAATTTACGACTAGGTTTGAAACATAATAAAATACAATATTGTACTCACTCTTCCGAAGGACTTCTAAAAAGGGCCTGGTCTTGCGCTGTAACTTGCATAATTTCGGCAAAAGTATTGCATTAATCGCAGAATTATAAATAAACGCCTTAAAATATAGAGCAGATAATGCACTTTTTCAAAGTATTTTTCGAAATAAAGCAGTAATAACTAGGCATTATCTGCTAAGGATTCCAAGCTAGTTAATTAAATATTCGTTATACTAGCATCTGATTGGTTACAATTACTATCTTGCCAGTCAAGCGTTCAATGCATGTATGTAATGTTTCGCACATAATGCCTTTTCTCAGAGTATTTATAATGGAATTTGCAGATAATGCCCAATATAAAATAGAATTTCATATTTCCAGACATATTTTTGGAAATTTGATAAAATAGGGTGATAGATTAGACATTCAGGAGTCACATAAGCTAAAATCTTAATGTCACTGCTCAAAATAATTAGGCAGTCGGCAGATTGCGGGAATTTATTTAGCACCATTCGTGAACATGTGCAAAAGAGGTCCAGTGACACAAAGGTTCGATGTGGGTATGAAAAGAAAGTTGGAGGATCCGTTGTCTTAAACATCTGATGGAGATCTTGGATATCTGCTCAGTTTGCAGTGTTCTTTTCTTTTTTATTTATTATATCCGGGTATCCCCAGTTGGTCTGTCGCCACAGATGAAAGCTTGTGAAATTACAGTTGGCATATATTGGAGTGTAATAATAGCTGGGATGTTACTACTACTGTTCCTGAATATATAATCTCCCATTTACTATGTTTTGTTTTGCCAATGCAGTTCAGGAAGTCCAAATATGTCATGAACACAATAGATTTAACATTCATCTGATAGGATGTCAATCTTTCCTGCTGAATGTTCCAATTTCCTATCCGTAAATTAGTCTAGGTTAAGTCCATGATTGGGGTTATTAAAGAGTTGTACCTAATTTGCCGTCCTCCTCTTGAGCTAATTGCTTCCCTGGCTACAGACCCTTGGCTTTCACTATTTGCCCTTTTGCCCTCATTAATAGATTTAACATTCATCTGAAGGATGTCAATCTTTCCTGGTGAGTTTAGGCCCTGAAGGTTCCAATTACCTATCCCTAAGTTAGTCTTCGTTAAGTCCATGACTGGGGTTATTAAAGGGTTGTACCTAATTGTTGAGCTAATAGCTTCCCTGCACAGACCCTGAGCTTTCACCATTTGCCCTCTGATTGATTGAGATCTGAGGCTGCATTTCTGTACGGATTTAACTTTTTTTTTAACGTCAGGTTTCGTAGTAGGATTCTTTTTACACTGGAAGGGTCACCGGTCCATCGCAATAACCTATGCCTGGATGGTATAATACCTATGTGTAGGGGATCCAGAGAGGATACTTACCCAGGAGATGGAATTCACTTAAGCTGGTTTGTTCGGGTTTTCCTTCCTACTCAGAACCATGTCAGTTCCCTGAACCGCAAGGTTTAGCTTATCTAGTCGCACCAACGTGGAGGTAAGTGTAGACTTGCGTGCAGAGAGCGATTATGGACAAGCACTCTGATGGGATTGCTACTTGTACTTATAGCTGTGACTCTAAATTTTGCACTGCTGACTCTGTGTTTTGCACTGTGACTCTCAGTTTTGAACTGTGACTCTGTGTTTTGCACTAATCAGTTTTGCACTGTGACTCTGTGTTTTGCACTGCTGACTCTCAGTTTTGCACTGGTGACTCTCAGTTTTGCGCTGCTGACTCTCAGTTTTGTACTGCTACCAATTGTATTTTGTCCTTTTGGCGTTCCATATGGGAGAGGATAAGAGAAGCCAAATAAAGGCACAACATGCAAGGTGAAAAAAGCAATTAAAAAAGGCAAGAGAAAGCAAGCTGAAGTTGCGCATTTACATGCCATATACCGACCGTACCTTGCAAATGATACCGACCGTACCTTGCAAATGCTACCGACCTAGTAGCTCATGCTATCAATTATGCATTTGTTACGATTTCCTTGAACGTAGAACTACTCAACATAAAATATTTACCTGAAGTATCTACCGTCTAAGCTCCCACTACCGCATGCAAGAGTTTGAGGTCTTTAATGTTCTAAAACGCATAAACCAGACTGAGGCACGTGGCCGTAACGGGCTCCCCGCTCGCATTGAACAAACTTAAAACAATATCATTAACTAATCACTTTTCCGAAGCAGCTGAACATTTTGTCTCGAACAAGCTTCTTAACGACATCATCAACGACAAGATCGATGAAATCTAATTTGGAAACAGAAGTGGCATGTCCATCTGTCATTATGTAATTAGGTTAATTAACAATTTATTTAGTCACTCCGACAATGCTAAAGCACACAGTTCTGTTGTTATTAAGATTTTTTGAAGGCCTTTGATCTCTTAAATCATAATATTGATGCCCAAACTCATTGATCTTAATGTTAATGCCTCACTGCTTCCTTGGATTGGGGATGTGAGATACAAAGTACTTTATCTGAACCAAAAACATTAAATGGGGGTGTCCCACAAGGGATAAAACTAGGCCCTATTTGCTTCAAGGTCCAGATCAATGATGCCTTAAATAATATTAACCAACAAAGTTTAAATGGTTTTTAAATATGACGATGACATGACCCTGGTTATTAACTCTAAAGGTAGAAACTCAAGTACTAATTCTCAACAATTAGTTAACACCCTGGAAAACTGGACAACTAGTAATGGCATGTCTCTTAAAATAAATGTGCTCATGCAAGTGTGTTCTATGTAAACACCCCCTTAATACCAAATAATACCATTGAAAACGTACCAGTTTAAGAAGTTCACATAATTACAAGTAATACTTACCAAAATCTCTAATGACCTTAAATGGAACGCTATATATCTGACTTGACAGAAAGAGCTAATGTTAAGCGTTTTATGTTGAAACTACTCGTCTATTTTACTTGTCCTGGGATAAGTTGATTATTGTTTATAAGTGGATATGCAAGATCTCTCCTTAAATATGCCTCAGTTTGGGATGCGGGTCTGACTTTTGAACTGAGTAAGATGCTTGAAAAGGTTCATAAACTGAACGATTCCGAAGAAGCCTTATTTTCTTAGACTTTTGAATAAGTAACTATGTATTTTTTTTATACAAGTAAAATAATTGATAAATAAAAAACGACTTTTAAAGTCGTTTTTTTTTTTTATTAAATTAATGAACCAATTAATTTCCAGTACTGACAACTACTGTATAAGTGATGCCAGAAGGAGCTTTGGTGTTAATGAGATCAATGGAGTCTTGCCTTTTTTCTTGTTCTTGTCTGTGGTTGCTTTTTTTCTTGTTCTTGTTTGTTTTGTAATGACACTTTTTGATGTATTTATTATATTTTATTCAGGCAAGGTAAATAATGTGCAAATTAGATCCGTCTACAATACGTTATACTGCCTTTTTTCCTTTTTAAAAAATAATATCGATATTTTCATTGCAATGATTATAATTATAAAAGCTAAGTCTAGTGATTAGTGAATGACTATAATTTTATTTATAAGTTCAACTTGTGCATTTTAATTTTGTTGTTTTCAATGTTCGACGTCAATATTGATAGCAATTTATTTGACGTCCTTTTTTTTATCTAAATGTTTAAATTAATTAGTCAATTAGTCTGTGAATGATTTATTTATTTTTTTTATAATAAAGAATGATTGATAATTAATGAGAATTATTTCTCCTGGAAAACATTTTATATTTTTTAATTGTATGTACAGTATGTGTTTTTAAATTTCTGAGTAAATCCATCGAATGAATTGAATAAAACAACAAAAGTTTACAAAACACTTCCATGTTGTAATAAATATCAATTTATAATATTTTAGAATCTAAGATTAACAACAGTATCATATATCTGGTTACAGGTTGTATTCAGATCAGAGAGAGGTGATGGAATTGACGGTGACATTGGTGTTGATGATATCATCATAAAAAATGGATCTTGCATCAATACTGGTATACAATTTGTGTCGTTAAATTGGCATACTGAACGGTGGCATTATTTAAAATGTTTATTGGTTATTAAACTCTCGGTTTTCTTTGTGTTGTCGAGAAAAACTAATAGAAAAACTAATAGCCATAGGCTTTACTCTAATCTGACATTTAAAATCAAAATAAAATTGTGAATCTATATGAAGGAAAAAGGTTTTTCGTACACTATTTAGAAATTAAGTTGGGTTGTCTACACAGTACTTCGGCATAATTACATTGGGTTATGGCCACAATGACGGTAAAACTAAATATTAAATTATTTTAATTCAAATACACCGTTTCCATAATTATATACACTAACTTATAAAACTAAATATAAAATATTTATGTTGATTCTAAGGTAAGAAACTAATTGGTTTAACATTACAAATAATTTTTCTACTACAGTTATGGAACCAGGTAAAAGAGATTATTTATGCATTACGTTGAAAACTATGATTCTAAAGTTAAAGAATGTTCAAAAAGGAAAAAAAAACATACAAAACAAAAAAATCAACAAATAATTATTTGCAAAAATGTCAGCACAGAATAGTTAAATTAAGATTATAAATCATTTGTTGGATAAGCTTAATGTGTCAGAAAATTGTTGTCTTATTTTAAGGCGATTTGTTTTATGTAAGTGTAAGTGAAATAAATGTTAATAGGAATATCATTTTAATTTATTGCTAAAGATACTAAAGATGTAGTCAATGTGACTTGCCAATTCGAAGAGCCAAACCTGTGTGGCTATACACACTTAGAAGATAATGCATTTAATTGGACGTGGACGAATAGCGCTCTTGGATCAAAGGTCGAAGCACCAGGAGTTCCCGAAGTGGATCACACTACATCAAGTGGTTTAGGTAGATTATAATGCATATATTTTAGTTTTTAAATTGGAATTGGTCATGTGAACGCATACCGTCATCCATCTTCTGCTCATGATTAATGAATTCAATAAGTATAATAATAAAGTGGTTCATGTATAATGATCCAAAAATCAAGTATAAGTAAGGGTGATATAAAATTACGGATGTACTTGACGTTTCGCCTTCTTCCAGCGTGGCTTAGTCATAAGAGACGATATGACGATCGTGGGCATTGTAAACTGCTACTACTACTACTACTACCAGTAGTACTACTACTACTACTACTACTACTACTACTACTACTACTACTACTACTACTACTACTACTACTACTACTACTACTACTACTACTACTACTACTACTACTACTACTACTACTACTAATAATAAGTGACCATTATAATAATAATAATAATAATAATAATAATAATAATAATAATAGCATTATTAATAATATTAAAAATAATAATCATAACCATAATCTTAATAATATAATAATAATATTATAATAATATAAATACAGCATACACGAAAGAATGTAGAAAAGGGAGGTCTAAAGAACAAAGGAGAAACAAGTTTTTATACCCAAGATTTTTGTCTGACCAGACATAATAACTCTAAAATAAAATAAATATATGAAAAATAGATTTTTACTTTAATAATAATGCTAATTATAGTGATGATAATGATGATGATAATAATAATAAATTAATTGGTATTAATAAATAATTATAATAAAGAATTAATTTGCTCATTGAAGTGTTTTTAAACAATTTCTGGTTATTTTAATTTGTCTTTGCTTTTATTGATATCATACTTGTTCTAATAATAATAATACAAATAATATTTATTATAACAACAACAATAATAATAATAATAATAATAATAATAATAATAATAATAATAATAATAATAATAAATTAATTGGTAGTTTGTTTGATATTTGAAGGATTCTATGTATTGGCTGATTTTAGGCAGTCCAAACTGTTAAGAGAAGTAGCCCGATTGCAATCTCCAGTAAACAATGAGACGTCTCTACAATGTCTTGAATTGTGGCACTTTATTCATGGAACAAACACGCAAGAATTTCGTGTTTTATTAAATCTGACAAGTACAATTGAAAAGTTGTTGTCTATAAAAGGAAATCGGGGTCCGTTTTGGCAGAAAACTACTAAGGAAATTTCACCAACAGATAAGTACTCGGTATAAATTTAATTTATCAAGTTATTTTGATATTTAGTGACATGGGCTCTTTATTACAGTATTTTGATTTATATCAGTATATTAACATTAAGATTATCACCACCAAGTTATTTTGTATCTGTTTCTCATTGTAAGTTATAACTTATTTGATACTTTTAATAATGAGCTGTAGTATCAAAATTGCAATTGTCTAAGGTTTTTCTGATTTTTTGGCGAGCAGTATTTTAATGTTTACTATAGATGATTAATGTTGAGTACGAGAGCTGCTAAGGTCGCAAATACACCCATTTTATTTCATTGCATTCGTTGTAAAATGTGATCCCGACGCGCATGCTACATGCTTCATTATTATTAATTAATACCAATTAATTTATTATTATTATTATTATTATTATTATTATTATTATTATTATTTTAGACCTAATCAATTGATGCAATAATGCAACTTTTCGACTGTGGCAGTGCCGATAGAAAACTGCAGTTTCTTCGCACTGCGGCAATGCCATAGAAAACAGCAGCTTTTTTGTTTGCACTCGGCAAAAAATGCAAAGGAAGGGGCCGTGGTAAATTATGGTCGTGCCACATTGGCCGGCACATTATTGCACCCGGAATGTTTGATGGTTGGGGAACCGTTAACACTAGGTAACAGCAAGACTATATTAATCCAGCATGGTACAGAACGCATTCGCCCTCTTTACAATGAACCTCTCTTTGCTTGCAAATTATGAGGGCGGAGCTAAGTTGGAAAGGAATAATGACAATAGTGCCTATGTAAACTTTCTTGTGATAATAGATGTAGGCCAATGTGTTTAAGAACCAGTCGAATTTAAAAAAATTAAGAAAGGCTTGTTTCGCCAGAATCCTCTAACTCAAAAGTATTCAAATATTTGGGATGTCAGGAGTGTCACAAGCATACTTTGCTTACTGGGGGAATTGTCCCGTTCTGATTTACATGAAATAACGGCTTAGAAGCTAGCCCAGTTTTGCTAATTTTCATTCTTTTACTTGCAGATTATTTTTGAGGTTTTGTCTGGGGCGTGGCCAATAGGTGTAGTTGCGATTGATGACGTCAAGGTCACAAGAGGAAACTGCGAAATCGGTAGGTTGCAAAAACACGGGCAGAACTTTCGAACAGTATCCTAAACTACCGAGAAAGGAAGAAATATGCGTTACGATTTACTGCCCTGGCTGGCGCCTGTACAAATCTGGAAAAATATATCGTATACGTTCATCATTTAGGCGATAGGAATTGCCCGATTAAAGCGAGTTGGGGGGGGGGGTTGAGCGAGGTCCCCGACAGAGGAGGGGGACGATGCCCCGACGAGTCAGATTTACCCGACGAAAGCAAAGTGGGCGTGGTCAAGCTTCGACTAAAAGGTTTCTTAAGTGGTCCAGGGGAAAGCCCCGAAAATTTGGGGGTTTCAAAGGCTTATTTTATCGATTTTAGAGTCCACTAATAGGGCCTATGTACAAAATACATAGACCTATAATTTGTTTTTCTCCCCGACGAATTGTGCTTTTTCTTCCCGACGGGGGGACCCCGCCCCCCACTGGCGCCACCCTGTTAAGAACGATTTTGAGTTCTAATTTATTTCATTTTAAATATCGAAAATAATAATCATACACTAAAACGAATCTACGAAATCAAGAATTTGTTATGCAAATTGTGTTGTACACAGGGCCGGATGTGGGCAAAATTCTGGCCGCGAGGCATATTTTTCTCTACGGTAGTATTATTGCGGCCCACGACTACCCTGAGTGTGCTGCTCCCCTACCAACTTTGGTTAGAAAACTCCTTGTTTTTTTATGGCCCTACTGGGAAAAATTAATATATAAAATTGGGCATAAAGTTGTAGGACCCCCACCGGAAATAAGTTTTACTTTGTAAAGAAAACTTTCATGGGCCACCCTTACATCATCTTCTGTTGTTATTTGTTTGTCCTGCCTTGTGCGATTTTTATCCGTTTTGTAAAATATTGATGATGTGAATTAAATTAAACTTAACTTTTTTTGTATAAAATCAGTCTATGAAGCTTTTTTTCTGGAAGTTTCAAAGCTTGATGCGGCCCTCAGTGTTAAATAAAAAAAATCACTTAACCTTAGGCCCTCCGACCCGTCTTTATACAGTGGAAGTTGTAAATCAGTAGGTAAGGGGAATAGTGAGTGCTTCTGATACAAATGCATATGTTCACCAATAAACAAGATAAATAAATAAATTGACCATGTTAATCTATAACAATTTACTCCAAATTAGGCTTTTTTTGTACCAGTGTAGATTGATGAGGCAAGAGGGAGAGGTCTTATGAAACAAATCTGCATTGACTTGCACTTAGCTATATATAACTCCAGGTGACTTTGAACTGACTAATCGAACAGGCTATCTATATCTTCCCTGTATTTTACTAGGGGTCCTAGATGGACGTACAGTAATTCAACAAGGCTATTATTATCTACATAATGGTACTTATTTGTATTGGAATTATTTAAAGCATAATTGATCACACCTATGAACGCTAGATGACCAGGTTTTGTCCAATTTTTGAAGTTGGGACCGTTGGGAAGTAAACAAAAATCAGTAATCCAAGGCATTATCTCCTTCCTAACCTATAGGTTAAGTAACTTGTGAATTGCAATTGTACGATTAATACAATCAAAAACCTTAGAAATTTCGGTCACAACCAGAGTCATTATTATCAAGTTTATCTGTGCCCTTGTACAATAAGTTATCTAATCAATCAAGCAGTGGCTGGTGGATAAACCTTTAATACATTCATATTGGTTACGATCAATAACATCTATAATATAAGTGCCCATCTATATACAAATCCTTTGAAAACTTTTGCTAATTGTAAGGTTAAGGCTTTAGAACGTACTCTAGGTTATAGATATGTGCTGGGGTCTCCTTAGGTACTCAATGACCACCCTTCCAAATAGTCGGTGCGGTAGATTCTCTGAATGCGGTGTTGAAAATGTTTGTAACGGGTACACTAAATTTATATGCGTATTCCTAAAGTAAGACATCAGTAAATAATCTGGCCAAAATGCTTTAATTTTCTTTCTTTCTTTCTTTTTTTTTACTTAATTTATTGTACGTTTCCAGTTCGAAAACCCAGGGAGAGGGCTTACTAGATAGGTGTGCCGGTAATTTCTTTTAAGTTGAAGGGTATACTGGTCTACTTCGGGAGACCGTAGCAAATGATTAATTTATCGCCTCCGCAACACCTTTCTCATCATATAGTGAAACGTCTGGGACAGTAACTTATCAGTGGTTTTTGCTGAACTTCATTAATGATTAATTAAAAACCATTATTTCATATAGGAGGGTATGTAAATTTAAGATTTCGGAGACATGTGTTATAAAATGATTTCTTTAAAGCAGCGTTTCCTAGACCACATTATCACATTATCCTATGCTTTTTGGCTATTTTTAATTAGCAGCTTAATTACATGATTCATCCATGGCTTATCATGGGAGTTTAACTTGACAAACTTTTAGAGGAAATAGTAATTAATTGCTTCATTGACAGTGGCATATGAGTTAATCTTCTCAATAGTCCCTTTTTCACCTAATACTTCCTATCATGCATGGTTACTTAACCACCTACCAGTCTTAGTTTTGTGTTGTCCCATTGTAAGGTGTGGGGTAAGATACCCACATTATTGTCGTCTGGCAGTTGAACTTGTAAGAGTAAATTCGGTAAAGGAATGATGGGATGAGCCATGAGCTAAAGATAAAAATGAAAAGCAAATCTACGAAATATGATATGCCATGCTAGATAGGATGTCTTAGTTAATTTATCAAGCGAATTGCCAACACAAAGAGAGTTTATTAAAAAGTCACAGAAAGCATGGACGTGTTTAAAGTACAACGAACAAACACGTCAAACAATAGACACACGGGAGTTTATTTTTATACGATTGCCTAGGTCTGTAAACACGCATAGAAATTCTCCCCGAGTGATTGGGTAAACTGTTATGATCGCTTTTTCCAATCAGGGAGTTGACTATGGGGTAGTGAGTGATGCCATATTCGTTATTATACAGTGAAAATTTAATTATTACGTGTTGGAAATTTAACAACTCGAGAAACAGTATGATCACGAAAAAATGGTTTAACATCAATTCTATACTGAAGTCGTCCTATATAATTACACCTAAATCATGGTGTTTAGAACAGTACGTCCAGAGTGCAACGTAAATGATCTATAAGGAGTTGGATGACAGGGTTGATATATAAACTAGGCTCGATGCGATTCTTTAACCTAACGTGGTAATTGTTGAGGTCTCATTCACAATTACTTAAGCTCATCGGGAATGTACACATATTTGAAGACTTGCGTTGGGATTTCTTTTCTTAAGTATAATGTAAGACCTCCTCCACGTTGAGATCCTCAATATTTGATATATAAATTATAACCATCAACATTCAGATAATGGTCAGGAATTATATTCCTTTTGCCAGGTTTCAGCAAAGGAAGCAACATCAACAAGACAGATTTTAGCCTGTCGAAGTAGTACTGTAGGCCTAGTTGAACTTCATCTATTTAATGATAGAGTTGGCTATAGTAAGGACAATGTTATAGTAGGCCTATCTGTTTTCTTATAACCCTCTGTTTAGGGAGAAGATATTGTATCAATATTCTTCATTGTCTTTCTGTTGAAGTTCTTTTGTGTGTAAAAGTTGTTTGGTTGCCAACAATCACTTCAACATTCATTTGTTTTCCTCCTGATGATCCTCTTAAACACTGTACCTTCTTAGCTACAAAACGTTCAAATTATCGAAAAATAGTAGCGATTCAACATGCTGCTTAACACAGTATAAGGTCAGAAGTACTATTTTTTATAGCAATAATTACTCATGATGATGACCAATTGATTTCGAGTTTAGGCCCATAAATTAGCAGTCAGAGAGGTGAAGCAACCCACTCGTTCCGGTCAATGACCTAAGTGAATGTGGGTGAAGTAAAAAAAAGTAAAAAAATTCTTTCTAACCGGTTACAAATTGATAAACAAAAAATGATCATGCAACGTCCAGTTGGTTAAAACAGAAAAATAATGCAAAAAAAACAAAAAAACAAAAAAAAAACAAAAACAAAAACACCTGACGAAGTAACCAAGCAGAGAAATGTAGAAATCTTTAATAAAAAAAATTGTCACACCTTGATGATTTAGCCAACGTATGACGAATTTTACTAGGCTACGGGTTACCATATAACTAGTCAGTGGTATGCCTCCCAACCAATCACAGATATAAATTGTCTTTATGCTTAATTGAAGATATTAAATAAATTATGACATATGAATAAATGAATATGATTAACGATCATTCCTATTCCAAAAATGAAGATTCTAAAGAAAACTATGTTTGGACTGTTTAGAATTCCAATAATTGTTAACTGTTATTTATATAGTCCCAACCTCAACGGCACCAGAACCAGTAACCGTGTTGGAAGTTGATTGTGGATTTGAATCGAATGATCTATGTGGGTACATTCAAGACGTTAATGATGACTTTGATTGGTCCCTGAAGACGGTAGCTGAGCTTGAAGAATTTTATAAGTCATTAGGGCAGACGGGAGTGGGTCACGAATGGTATCCACCTACTGACAAATCAATCCTGCATTCGAATACAGGTAAGACATGCATTATATATATATATAAGATGTGTATAAGAGACAGGTACAATAAGTAACAACACATGATTGCCATTTTAGAAAATTTTGTACAATTTATATGTCTAGGTGCTCGGAAATAGCACTCAAGTTCTTAATTTCGTTATATATTTTGCATTCACTTTGCTGAGGGCAGAGACCGCGCCTCCGAAATCCGGTCCGCCAATTTGTTAATTTTGTTTTTCAGGGGTGTGCAAACACACGCTTCAATGACGTCAGATCACCCAAAGTTTCATAGTGCATGACACAAGGAACAATTTTACCTTGAATTTACCTTCATGATAATAAATCCGTTTTACATGTTTAGGAACTTTCCTATTTGCCGATCTTTATCAGTATTCGTCGAAGCATGGAAAAGCGCGTATATTGTCTCCATTAATTAAAAAAACTGAAAGCCAAACGTGTTTGAAGTTTTGGTTCTACAAACAAGGGTTTGAAAGTGCATTTCTGAACGTTTACATGCTAAAACACAATGATCTATTCCACGGGGATCCTCTCTTAGCGTTATATGGAAGCTATGGAAATCAATGGATTCTACAGCAAGTTGATATACCACTGTCATCAAAACCGTTTCAGGTTAGTGTTGGTTAGTTAATGTAATGATTCATTTCGTATATTTTATAATATAATCATCGCCGCCGCCGTCGTTATGAAATGAGAATGTATATTGTTATAAAGCGTTAAGATGAAATATTATTATTGTAATTGTCTGTTATATCCCAAAATAACTATTTAGCAATGTCTTGAACTTTGGCCACACTAAACAGCTTCACCCCTCAAACACCTGTTATATCTCAGATTGACAACACAAATCTTTAGTGTGGTGTGGTCAATTTTCAAGAGTTATAAATTTAAGACTAATAGTGAGATCTTTATGAAGTGACAGTTTATACCACTTATTTATAAAACCAACTTTGTATACAGAACCATCAATTAAGTATCAGTTTTACTTCTCAAACTTTTGGAAACCTGGATATTATCTGACCAATAGAAACTCTAATGTGCCTTTTAATCTTTTCCTGAAATAGAAATATAGGAATTAACGAGATTTTTTTTTGTAAAAGTTACGACAGATGTATTTTGTTGGTTTTTATCTTCAATAAATTGTGGCAAATTAACACTATATCTATTTATTTACCAAGGTAGCAAGCAAACATGGCCCCATTAAGAAATGCATGGGCCAAAATGTGGGCCCCCTACAGTTTGGTCTATATGGGATTAGGCTGCCTGTGCACCCTAAATCCACGAGGGTCCTATAAATTTTGGCCCAAATGCAATGTGGGCTCTTTAAATGATATATTTTGGTCCCTTACGGTTTGAATTATGTTTTTATTTGGGACCCATATGGGTTTGTACAAATTAATTCATGGGCCCATTGTAGGCTCTATCTGGGTTTTTAAGGGGTTGAATCGGGGTTGAAATGTAAGGGGACCCTATAAATTGGCCCATATGGGAAAGAGTTGCACCCTAAATCAATATGGGTCCCATAAAGTTGGCCCAAATTAATTTATAGGCCCTTTAAAGAATATATTTGGGCCCCGAAGATTTGCATTATGGTTTAATATAGGACCCATATGGGTTTTACCAAATTAATTCATGGGATCTTTATGGGCTATTTCTGGGTTTTTTGAGGATTGAAATGTAAGGGGCCACTATAAATTGGCCCATACGGTAAAGAGCTGCCTGTGCACCCAAAATCCATAAGGGTCCCATAAAGTTCATGGTCCCGTTAAAGGATATATTTGGGCCCCTTAAGTTTCCATTATGGTTTTATTTGGGACCCATGTGGGTTTTGTCCAAAATAATATACGGGCCCATGCTGGGCTATATCTGGTTTTTTCATGGCTGAATAGGAATTGAACTGTAAGGGGTGAGGGGCACTAAAATTTGTTGGATATTGTGATTTTTACAACTGTTCAACTGGTCCAAGTTCAAACTGGTCTTTATCTGGTCCCAGATCCATTTGGTCTTCAGCTGCTGGTCCCAGTTCCATTTGGTCTTCAATTGGTCCCAGTTCCTTGTTGTAAAATAACAATGGCTTTAACTGACTCCTGTATACTTACAAAACACACTGAGTTTAAGATATACAAGCCATAATTTCTTTCATTAAAAAACATCAGCTGTACTTTATGGGGTAGGTACTTGCATACCCTTTCGCATATCATTTGGCTAAGTCTTTACTGTTACGCTTACAGTCCTGTTTATATCAGCATTTTTGTCTATAATAATTATAAGCCTATTATATTATAGCATCACTAGAGTTTAAAATATAGAACGATATTCAAGAATTGTTTGCATCAAGCGTGCATATAAGCCAACATTATTTGTGTATTGAAGCAGCATTTCTCCATAACCATGCATTTTCTTATCCGATGACAAGGTAAATGAAGAATCTTACTAAAATTTCAGATAGTATGAATTCTGCAAGTGAACAAGTCAAGTTCGAAATATTGATTCACAATGGCTTGTTTGTATTAACTTTTTTTTTGGAATTCCACAATTGCTGAAAGATGTTAAAAAAAATCTTTAAAACAGAGCTAAGCAAAACATGCATTTCATAGTCCTTGGCATTTCGAAAAAAAGTAATTCAAAACTCACACTATAAGGTCAAGATAAAAAATCAATGGCAGGGGAAAATTGTCTTCTGTCAATTATAATATGCAAAATGCTATTTTTGTTTATTGTCTTAGTTAAGGTGATTTTGTCTGTGTCTTTAGGCAAAGAATGAATTGGTAAATGTACAGTACATAAAACATTCCTACTAAAATTTAGAATCTGTTATTTCCCTTCAAAATCAATGATTTTAAAACCATAATTTACTGTATCAAAGATATTAGACTGGCAGTGTTTTGTTTTATCAAAAGTGAATTATCAGTTCCAATCCTGTTTTTTTTAAGCGTAAAATTAAATGTTGTGCAGACAGTATAATACGGTGTTACAGTGATATCCATTATAGGCCTATAACATACATATTATATTATATTAGTTATAACCTCCATCATGGTAGTAAGTACAGTACATTTTATTCACCTTTAAAAGTCAGGCAATTTTCTGTTTCCGCAACTGCCACAATAAGGCTTCAAACATTCATCACTTTACTGCGAGAACTGATGAGACTGTGCGACCAACATCTTCTGAAAAAAGGCAAAGTTTATTAATTTTAGTGATTAGGCCCTATGCCACATACAGTAACTGTCGCCAAAAATATTAATAGTTTACCCCTCAACCCATTGTTTCATTATTTGCATGATTGTAGCACTCAATCTCAACGGGTAACAATTGAGAAATCAATTACTTATCGACTGCTATTGGTGAGCTTTCAGACACGATTTTACTTTCTAATTGGGTGTCGCGATTGCTATAACCGATCGCAATGCGAAGCTAGCCTGAATGTGGTATAATTTACCAATAGCTAAACTATTGGGGCAATGCTACAGTTTTGGCAGTCCAACGAATTATTCCAATAATTACTCAATGATACAAAATTACCTAAATGATACCACAATTATTTGATATTACTATTATATATCATATATTATTATTATTATTATTAATTTAATAAAATAATAATAAGATATAATATATAATAATATAAAATAAATTATTATTATTATTATATCTACTTTTATTTTGATATAATTATCATTATTATTAATAATATTAAAGATTTTTATTACTACTACTACTGTTGTTATTATTATTATTATTATCCGCATTATTAGGCCTAATAATTATTATTTATTCGAATCTTAATATACCTTTATAAAGTGATGTATATTTTTAAGAATACAGTAGTAGAACCACTCCTTTAGGACACCTCTATTCATACAGCATTCTAATCAATATCAAAACATATCACTCTATTAATGATATATCCATCTAATAGAAAGCTCTAATGTGAGTGTTTTTATTTGTAATAAAACCAGTCTCTACCTTTTCAGTACATTTCACATACACATTGTATACATACATATTAATCACCTTATACTATTTTAAACCATATGAAATTAATTGATCATTTATAGAAAGCTAAATAAAAAAAATATTTGGTCATTAACATTGCATAATGTAAGGATATTGGGAACATATTTTTAACTATTGTTGTTTTAATTACATTTCTACTGATTTCATATTATAAATAAATTTTATTTGAATTACAAATTATTGCTATAAGATTCTTATGTCAATAAAGATAAAATTGTAAAGAACGTATGTCAGCGTTATATGAATACATGCAAAAAAAAAAAAAAAAAAAAAAAAAAAAAAAAAAAAAAAAAACATATTAAGGGGAACATTTTAAAGTGTTTGTTTAGTGTCTCCAGAATATGGGTACCCGTATTCAAGGGACACCCCTATTAAGGGTTCTACTGTATATAGTAAAACAAAATCACATACACGAATATTAGGGATTTATTAAGATTCAAACTGGCTACATCCAAAGTTTATTTTTGATACTACCGTCTTCAAATTCACAATGGGAAGGTTTAAAAGTTAACTGTAGGCCTACACTGTTATTGCAGGCTGACTACCCCAGCAGGGTTTTTTTTCAGGGGCATTCCACAGTATTTGGTCCATGAGGGTAATTTTTTTTTAAATTTTGCCTCTGTGTATTGGATTTTTAACTATTCAATATAAAAACATAAAAATTAGTAATCTTTTTTTTTTTTAAAGTGTCACTGAGCCTCGGAATAGTTCGCTAGATAGACGGCGCATTATAAATGCTGCCTTATATTATTTATTTATTCGGGTTACATCATTATTTATAATTCTTATAGTATGTGTCTTTTGGTATTTACTCAATTTAAATGTCAAAGTTTCATGGATGACATTCAAAATAATTCTAGCACTGTTGACTTAAACAGGTGATGTTTACTTCTGGTAAACAATTTTTTGTGTAAACTGTTTATTTCAGATTGGCCCCATCCGAAATCAACTATTCATTTCACACCGGGAATGCCCAACTGTTTTTAACTTAGCATCACGCATAAGTTTGTTAAACGCATTTGAACTAAATCCGTGTCAATTGAAATGAATAAAATATTAAATCTGTATGCATGATTACAATATTTTTTTTGTTGAGAATGTTAAACGATTAAATATTTCTGAAATTATTAAAAGAAAAGAAATAATTTATGATGGATATAACACATTTATAATAATGTTCGGGATTATTTTGACAAATAAAACTGGATGTAAATTTAAGTAGCCTAAGGCTAAGTTATAAATGAGAGTATAATAAAAGTTACGTCTAGGCCTAAGCCTATATGAATAAAGAAATAATCTATGTCCGAAAATATTACGCAAATAACGTTAGAAACAGGTGAAAACGAATAAATCAATACCTACAGATGGCAATTCGTCGGACCTCTTTTAGCTGGGTCAACAAAAGGACCTCCCTACACCCTAGGCCAGCAGGCTGATGCTCAGCTAGTTCTTTAGTACTAGAGGGTCTAGGCCTCGTTATGTCCTTACTAAATACCTCCTTCTCCCTACTAACTACACTACTACTAGGTTATGACTATTATACCAGGGAGATACACTGTTAAGTGCGTACCTTTGGTCCAAAGGGTCTTTGG